CTTTAATTTAAGCTACCCAACATTGTGTGATTTTTAGATACGACGCTGACAACTAGTAAATAGAGGGATGTAAAATCAAATAAAAAATGACCCAAGATTCTAGTAGATGCTGCTGATTTACTCAAACATAAACTGGCTGGTGATGTATTTGCACTTTCTGTATATCTGTGGTGTTATCTGGTACCCTGTATTTGTTTTATATCCGGTTCTTTGTCAGTGGAAATCTAACACACTGTACACCTTATATACCTTTTATCTTTGGGTTAGTAAGAAAAGTGCATGTGTGGAACACGTGTCACAAAATGCTTCATAATAAAAGGCAAAAATTAGAAATAAAATACAGATACGACATAAAAGTATGTTGAAAGCTCCTTGAATCAAGCCTTGACTTTCAGTATACATGTATTAATATTATTGCACTTATAAATAAAACTTATAAAATTAGAGAGAGCCCTCAGTAAAGGGCCATAGATGCCCAATGTATGCATGTTTACCTGATTCTATGTTTTACTGTCCGTCTACTTGAGAATGAACTTGTCTTGATGTTGCCTCCAAATGATCCATAATGTAACAAGAGCTTTAGTCTGTCATGTAGCACAGATATTTTGCATGGAAGGAAAGTGTTTTGCTGTAATTTATGGCTAAGCATCTATGATTTATGACCTTGAGTTTGACCTTTCGCCCCAAAATCAAATGTCACACCACCAATATGGGTTCCTCTCTGAGTGTAATAAGAAACTATGTGTTTATCTTAAACCTTTTCCAAGTTATAATGGATTTAAAATTAGTAATGATTTACAACCTTTTGTTTTAAGGTCATATGTTACATCACCACTTTATAGGCCTCAAATGTCTTCCTACATTAGTATTCTAAACTCATGTCTTCTGTGCATTTTCAGCCATATAGAGCTTTTTGGGGAAATGCAACCCGTGACCTCTGTAGCGGTCACCAAAGCATGTATTGACCCCAAAACCGAATCACTCTGAGAAGGGACCATACAGAGGTCATGTATGAAGTGTCAGGTTCAAACTCCTCTCTTGTAAAGCGCTAGACTGTTGTTATGTGCTGGGGGCACATTTTTTTTACCCTTTATTTAGTTTTGCATATTTTCCCCTCGTTTTGTGTTATTGGAGCATGTTTAGTTCCGTTTTTTCCGGTAATTGATAGAGCCACTGCTCCGCCTATAAATAGGCTGGATTTTTGCTCCTGCCTCTCACCTCCCGGCTCCTCCTAGATGCGGCGCGCCTCGGACCGTGCGCGCTCTCGCACACCAACTGCCACGTTGACAGCCTGGCTGATGCCGGCCTGGCATCTCTTCGTTTTGATTTCTGGATTGTTTGACCCGGCGGGATCGGCCGTCCAGTTTTCGTTTTTTGGACCTTAGGTTGTGGGATTTCTTTTAGTTCGGTGTTGGCACCGGCTTCGACGGCCCTGTATAGGGTTGGCCCGGTGCCACATCATTTTGTTTTGTTTGGCCGACCTGCCGGGTCCACCTTTAATTTGACTTTGGTTGTTTGTTTGTTTTTTTTGGGCACGGGCACATTGGGCGGATTTTAATTTTTCTTTCAAATTGTTTGAAAAAAATAAAATAAATGAAAGTTGAACTACCCAGGTTCCCTGTGTCTCCTTTTTAAATATGTTGGTGCCTTTTTTTGGGCCGTAACAACTGTTAACAGACAAAAAACACACACACACACACACACACAAAAACAAACACACAGGCATGATTTCTCTATAGTTGCCCATCGATTGGCAACTATAAAGTTGAAAAGGATTCACTTCTCCTCTTGAACGTCATCCACTCATCTTTACTTCTTCTATGTTTTACTTTCACAACACACAAACACACCTGTGACAAGACTGAAGAGTTTGACGCCTTTGCGGCGATACGCTACAGCGGCGAAGTCTCCGTTCACAGCCACACACGTAGCGGCAGCCTCAGGCAATGCAGGCTTCCGTTTCTTCTGAGGAGGCTCCCGCTCGTACTAAAAAATGCAAAAGACACAAATAACTGGAGCAGCTTGGAGACAAAGAGTTTCAAAGAACTAAATGTGAATTTTGAGAAAGATCATGCATCAATATGTTCAAAAATCCTTCTAGTCTTGTCAGATATTATAAGCAGTAAATGTTTTACCATGTGTGACATTTATTAGACATTAGTTTTCAACCAAATGGCTTCTTTCTACTGTTCAATCATACCCCAAATGACAGGACAAGATAAAACTTTATTGATCTTGAAGGAAACTCTTGTGCCAGATATTGCTCGGAAAAATCTAAATGGCACTAGATAAGAATAAATGCAGGAGCAATAAGATGTAAGAGCAAAACATTAGTTAAATAAAATAAGCAAGCTTTAACCAGACTAGAAAAGAAAAGTAAAGAGTAAATGCTGGCTATATTGCACATGAAAGTGACCGAAACGTTACATATTTCCACACCGACAATGTTGTACATGAGGTAAAATGTTGTACATGTAATGAAGCTATTGTGCATGAAATGAAATGTTACACATGATACTGAAACTGATAAAATATTGAGAATAGTAATACTGAAAATTATATTATTGTTCGGATCCAAGTGTCATATTTTAGCTGCCATTCCTGCACAAGAGAGTCTGTGATAATGTACACACAGACTCCAACGTCGGTAACAGATCAATAGTCTGATTCCCAAATGTTTAGAAATGTAAGACTTGAACACGAGGTAAGTGAGGACTTACTTCATCATCTTTTAATGTAGTGACTGAACATCCAAGTCCACCTGACCAGAGCTGGAGCTGTTTGAGAAGAAAACAAAGAATGTCATTAGTTAAATCAAAATCAGCAAGAATTTGCTCATAAGAGGAAACTGAGTGACTGAAATGTGTTTGTTTTCCCACTGCAAGGTCAGAAAAAAGGGATCAGGGCTCAGATGAAACATAAACCTGTAGGTAGGCAGGACAGTATATAAATCCCAAATGGAAATCACAGTGTTACAGCAGAAAGTTCACCTAAATCACAAAAACAACTGAAGGCTAAATCCTTCACAGAGAAATGAAGTCAGGTTTATAGTATTACTCTGCTGTCTTGAGAGTGACGCCTCACCGTGTGATCGGAGCCAGCGGTCAGAAGCATGGATCCTTCATCCAGGAAGGTGAGGGCCTCGGTGGCTCCCAGGTGAGCCTGGAAACATCCCACACAGGTGGAGGTGGGCAGCGACCAAACCCTCACCTCTCCACACACAGAGCCCGAACACAGCAAAGAGGAGGAGGACGGGGAGAAGGAGACGCTGCGCACCGATCGCTTGTGACCGCACAGAGGCTGAGGAAATGGACAGGAGACGATTACAGAGTGTATTCCAAAAAACGAGGTGTTTCTGCTGGAAGAACAAGATTTATTTTGTTTTATCAAGCAGAAAACCACAACAACTGGGTCTTAGTGTTGCTGCTGGGGGAACTTTGTTGAGCTGTCCAGTGATTTTAAAGTTTCTGGTTTGAAACTTGTAGTCTTCCAACCAAACAAAGCTAACTTAGTAGCATCAGTAGAAGCAGTTCATCCGATTTTGTGCACCTCTCTGCAAAACATGTTTTTATCTCATTTCAAGGTGAGCTCATCAAGCAGCCATAGGTTCTCCTGTACTGGCACCCATTCATTTAGCTCCTCGTCACGATAACTCACCGTTACTGGATCGTTCTTGAGCCACTTCCACACGAGCACGTCTCCGTTCCAGCAGCCAGCGGCCAGCAGGTGACCGTCAGGGTCGAAGGTGACACAGTTCAAAGGGCTTTCGCTGGGCAGAGAGGCCACTTCTGTGACTTTGTCGCTCCAAACCTGAGGAGCAGATTCATGTTTGATTACTTCAATTCAGGAATGGGAACGTTTGAGTTCTGGGCGAACGTGGGGGTGCAGAATCAGGCTATAAAAACATGTGTCTAGCATTTCACTTCACAAACCAAATTTAATCTTTATTCCTCACTTTCTTACATAATTGTATTTAATGTCGTGCTTTTCTGTGTTTTTTCTTAGCATCTGTGTGATTTATTATGTGATAACTAACAAATCTTTTGACAAAATGACGAAACTATTTAATAGTATTTAATATGGATTCGCTTTAACAACATTTGTTTGAGACTAACTTTCAGCGTGAAGTCGAGGGAGACGGTTGCGAGGTGCTTCTTGTTTGCGGTGATATCGATCGCTGTTATGGTGTTAGTGTGGCCTTCGATGAGAGAGGTCCTGCGGGGAGAAGAGACGCAAGTCAGATCATTTAAGCATCTTTCGTCTGAGCTGTATATGAAGACTCATGCAGGATTAGAGGAATAAGATAAGATCAAATTCATGATCCCTCACCAGCTAGACACAGAAGAGGCATGGAAGAAGCAAGACAAGAAGACAAAAGTACAATAAGGCTGAAATGAAGATATAATAAAGACAATGTACAAGTTTCCCATGTGCACATATGACATGATGTATTTACATATGGATGAGTGCAGGTATGGCAACTGGAGGACACACTGTGTGTGAACGTGCACTTTTATACAGAGTATTAGTGCTACAAATCTGTGGTATTTTGCCAACTTTCCCACCTGCATCCGTTCTTAATGTCCCAGAGCTCGATACGTCCGTCAAACGAGGTGGTGGCGAGACCTTTGTCCTTCAGAAAGACGCAGCTCGAGATGCCGTCGCAGCTGCTCTCCAGCGATTTCACCT